TACTGCTACAGATGCTACTACTACTACTACTACTACTACTACCACTACTGTTACTGCTACTACGACTACTACTACTACTGCTGCTACTACTACTACTTCTACTACTACTGCGACTACGACTACTACTACTACTACTACTACTACTACGACTACTACTACTACTACTACTACTACTACTACAACTACTTCTACTTCTACAACTACTACAATCAATACTACTACGACGACGGCTACTACTACCACTACTACCACTACGACGACTACTACTACTACTGCTACTACCTATATCTACTACTACTAATAATAATAATACAACTACTACTACTACTACTACTACTACTACTACTACGACGACGACGACGACGACTAGTACTACTACTACGGTTACTACTACTACTACTACTACTACTACTACTACCACTACTACTTCTTCTAGTACTACTACTACTACTACTACTACTACTACTACTACTACTACTACTGCTACTACTACTACTACTACTGCTACTACTAGTACGGCAAGTTCGTTTCTTGCCGACCCCAGCGTTGGTTTTTGACACCGCAGGGATCGTTCAACCTTGAACGATCGGCCGCTGCCGCAACGTCCGATCGTTCAACATCGATCGATTCTGGGTCGCCGGCGGCGTTCAACCTTGAACGTCCGCGCTGGGGTCGCCGCTGGTCGACACGACGCAAACCTACCGTACTAGTACGACTACTACTACTACTACTACTACTACTACTACCACTACTACTACTACTACTACTACTACTACTACTACTACTACTACTACTACTACTACTACTACTACTACTACTACTACTACTACTACTACTACTACTACTACTACTACTACTACTACTACTACTACTACTACTACTACTACTACTTATACATGGGCTCGTCAGACATTATCGGCAAGCCCGAGACCCAGCGAAATCAAATGTTCAAGTTGCCCGACCTCTGAGCTTGGGTTCCCCTTTGGCCGCCCGAGTGGGTACGATGCCCAACAACACATAAGGTCTAAAACCGACAGGGTCCGCTGTTGGGCAGTCGGCCTTCTGTCTCAAATGGACAACGTCCGCACCAGCACTGACAGCAGGTCCTGTTTAAATTACCCTGGCGACGTACCCAACCCCTGCGCAAACACGGGGCGCAACTAGTTTAGGACACTTTATAAGGGGGGCGATGACGGAGCGAGGGTTACATATGTCTGCAGACGGAATTCGGGAGACTCGCAGGAAACTGGCTTCAGGACAAGGACTAGATAAAGCTGATTAGTTGCAATCCCTGAGCAACCCTAGCCACTTCGAAAGCGGGGATCTCAGATCGCAGCCCCCCAGGGATGGCGAGGTCTAATTTGGGTCCGCCCGTGGCGTCACTGTGCTGGGCCCCCCAGCAGGCCTCGAAAGTGGCGACAGTTTCACAGATCGCAGCCCCCCAGGGATGGCGAGGTCTAATTTGAATCCGCCCGTGGCGTCACTGTGCTGGGCCCCCCAGCAGGCCTCGAAAGTGGCGACAGTTTCACAGATCGCAGCCCCCCAGGGATGGCGAGGTCTAATTTGGGTCCGCGCGTGGCGTCACTGTGCTGGCCCCCCCAGCAGGCCTCGAAAGTGGCGACAGTTTCACAGATCGCAGCTCCCCAGGGATGGCGAGGTCTAATTTGGGTCCGCCCGTGGCGTCACTGTGCTGGGCCCCCCCAGCAGGCCTCGAAAGTGGCGACAGTTTCACAGATCGCAGCCCCCCAGGGATGGCGAGGTCTAATTTGGGTCCGCCCGTGGCGTCACTGTGCTGGGCTCGGACAGTTTCCAGATCGCAGCCCCCAGGATGGCGAGGTCCTGGCGTCACTGTGCTGGGCCCCCCAGCAGGCCTCGAAAGTGCCGACAGTTTCACAGATCGCGACGAGGTCCCGCCACTGTGCTGATCGAAAATGCCGGCAGTTTCACAGATCGCAGCCCCCCAGGGATGGCGAGGTCTAATTTGAATCCGCCGTCCCTCACTGTGCTGGGCCCCCCAGCAGGCCTCGAAAATGGCGACAGTTTCGCAGATCGCAGCCCCCCAGGGATGGCGAGGTCTAATTTGAATCTGCGCGTGGCCCTCACTGTGCTGGGCCCCCCAGCAGGCCTCGAAAATGGCGACAGTTTCGCAGATCGCAGCCCCCCAGGGATGGCGAGGTCTAATTTGAATCCGCGCGTGGCCCTCACTGGGCTGGGCCCCCCAGCAGGCCTCGAAAATGGCGACAGTTTCGCAGATCGCAGCCTCCCCAGGGATGGCGAGGTCTAATTTGAATCCGCGCGTGGCCCTCACTGTGCTGGCCCCCCAGCAGGCCTCGAAAGTGGCGACAGTTTCACAGATCGCAGCCCCCCAGGGATGGCGAGGTCTAATTTGAATCTGCGCTCGCCCTCACTGTGCTGGGCCCCCCAGCAGGCCTCGAAAGTGGCGACAGTTTCACAGATCGCAGCCCCCCAGGGATGGCGAGGTCTAATTTGAATCCGCGCGTGGCGTCACTGTGCTGGGCCCCCCAGCAGGCCTCGAAAGTGGCGCAGTTTCACAAGATCGCAGCCCCCCAGGATGGCGAGGTCTAATTTGTTTCGGCCTCACTGTGCTGGGCCCCCCAGCAGGCCTCGAAAATGCGGGCAGTTTTTTCACAGCTCGCAGCCCCCCAGGGATGGCGAGGTCTAATTTGAATCCGCGCGTCGCCCTCACTGTGCTGGGCCCCCAGCAGGCCTCGAAAATGGCGACAGTTTCACAGATCGCAGCCCCCCAGGGATGGCGAGTTCTAATTTGAATCTGCGCGTGGCCTCACTGTGCTGGGCCCCCCAGCAGGCCTCGAAATGGCGCAGTTTCACAGATCGCAGCCCCCCAGGGATGGCGAGGTCTTTTGAATCCGCGTCGTACCCTCTGTGCTGGCCCCCCAGCAGCCCTCGAAAGTGGCGACAGTTTCACAGATCGCAGCCCCCCAGGGATGGCGAGGTCCTGTGCTGGGCCCCCCAGCAGGCCTCGAAAGTGGCGACAGTTTCACAGATCGCAGCCCCCCAGGGATGGCGAGGTCTAATTTGAATCTGCGCGTGGCCCTCACTGTGCTGGGCCCCCCAGCAGGCCTCGAAAATGGCGACAGTTTCACAGATCGCAGCCCCCCAGGGATGGCGAGGTCTAACTTGAATCTGCGCGTCGCCCTCACTTTGCTGGGCCCCCCAGCAGGCCTCGAAAATGGCGACAGTTTCACAGATCGCAGCCCCCCCAGGGATGGCGAGGTCTAATTTGAATCTGCGCGGGGCCCTCACTTTGCTGGGCCCCCCAGCAGGCTTCGAAAATGGCGACAGTTTCACAGATCGCACCCCCCCGCAGGCAAGACAGGAAGAGGCAGGGAGGGAGGGAGGGAGGAGGAAGGAAGGAGTGGAGACCACACTGCTCTGTTCAAAACAAATGCCCAACCAAGGAGGGTTGAGAAACAAACCAGGAATGCTGTCGGCCTTTGTACCCAATTTCTCTCCGTACCCATATCGATCGTCCCGAACATCTTGGGTCTTATGGTTCCCCAACCTCTAAGCTTGGCCTCCCCGGGCCGCCGCCAGCAGCAGCCCCAACGCCGGCGCTTTCCGAGCCGCGCCCGCCATGGCGTAGCCCACACGCGCCCGCGCGCATGGCGCGGGCCGCCGCGCTGCCGCCCCGCGGGCGCGCACCGGACGCCTCGAGGCGGCCCCCAAGCTCAGACGGCTGCCGCGCCTCGCTTCCAGAGATCTGACAAATCATCATCATCATCATCATCATCAGCATCATCATCATCATCGTCATCGTCATCACCATCATCGAGCGTTGACAAGTCGCACTCTGGACCGATCGACTTATCTGGGCTGCAAAAACAGCATTAACTGACGTCTAGATGTCGCGGTCCAGCAGCTCGTTTTGGGGAACAAAGCAACGACTCTCATAAGAAACACCTTGATGACCGAAGCAATTTCGCAAGCGAACTAAGGAAGGAATCGAACAGGGCAGGGCTCTCTGATAAACGCCCAAGGCCGCTTAGGAAACGCCAGTGATCGCGGTCGGGGTGCTGTTTCCTCCCACGATTGCTCTCGCCCCCCCCCAAAAAAGGAACTCGACTCTTCATGTCAAGGTCCATTTGTTCTTTTTGGCCCTCGTGGGCGTGGAAGGCAAAAGCCGGGTCGGGCGAAAGGGGGGGATAATTAGCAAAGGGGGGGGGGGAGAATCAGCTCACGTAGATGATTTTCCCGGCGCCTCCCGGCGCCGGGAGGCGCCCATGCGCCGGGAGGCGCCCATGTATCGAGGAGTGGGCCCGGCGGAGGGGCCGAAACAAGCTGCATGCAGCAGACTTCGTAACCCCCCCTTTCCCAATCCCCCCCTTTCGCTCGGCCCGAAAAAGCCAATCGTGCCCGCTCGCGCGGAGTCCGCTCGGGGAGCGCCAGGGCCCGGCGGGCCGCCGCGCGCGCCGTGGCGCTGCGGGCGCCGCGCGTGCAGGGCGGGGGCGCCTGGCGCGGTGGTCTTCGCACTGTCGCGCTGCGCCTCTTCCGCTGGGTCCCTAAGGCATGCTTCAAGACCGCGCTTTTGTTCGCAGGACCGTCGAGCGCGAGGACAAGCCGCGGTTCTCAATTTTCTTCGGCAGGACAACAAACAGATGCTGGCTTCATCCCCCAAACAATGCTTGAAACTTACACGGGCGAACCTCGCCGAACTGGATCTCAGGGGCCGCGTTCTTTGCCTCTCTGTTGTTCAAATCTTCTCGGGCCCCCAGAATTAAAAAATCCCCCCCCCACTGCCTCTGGGGACAATGCAAACGTACTGGCACCGCTGCCCCCAGGACCTTGTCCAGGGGCGAGCTCGGAATGGAGCGTTCCTGAAAGTCCTTTCCGTAGCGCCGATGCCTTTCCGGAACGAGAAACGGCACCAAACCAGGAGTCGTGGAGGCATTGCGGGTGTCATGACAATGTTGAGTTAAAGTGTGCTTAAAATGTTTGACACATGATTACAACATGGTAAACATATCTTGTTTTACATTTTTATGGCATGTATAAAACATTATTTAGACACCTGGTAAGTATTTGGCAACGTGCTTCCTCTCGATTGATCGTCGTCCACAAGGGAAGCACAGATCCGGGTCAGCACAAACCCTGATCGGCCAGGACCTCGTCGCGAGGCCCCGCCAAGCGCTTGCAATGGCTACCCGAGCCTGGGCCAGCAAAGGGCGAACAAAACGGGGGATCGGCTCCGCGTGGCTCCCAGACAAGGGTTCGCGCCGACGGCCCCCGAAATCGTGGCGCCCAGGCGCTTTGAAGGCAGCATGCGGCCCTCTCGGAAGCTTCTTCGGGGCCTCGCGGGGGCCGCTCTGGGGATCCATCTGGGTTCTTTTTTGGTGGGCCCGCTGGCGGCCTCGGGGGCCTGCTTGGGGCGGAGTCTGTTCTGGGAGAACAACGAGCCGACGCCAGCACGAAGAAAAGACCCCTTCCGAGAAATTCTGACTTGCGTCAGGGCCAACGCGACCCCCCGCCCTGGCCAGAGGAAACGCAAAGCGGCCGGAGATGGATGGGGGAACGGGGACGTCGCGCAGCAGGTAGGAGGGCGAGCAGGAAACAAAAGTGCATGCGAGAAGCGAAACTGGCGGGCGCTTTCGGGAGAGGCACGGGAGACGAAGAATAATGCGGCATCCGACATGACCAAAGCCTCGCCCCCCCCACAGCCGCCCCCCCTCACGCTTCCCCCCGCCCGCTCGCCCCCCTCATATACAATTACTCAATATGAATACTACTCTCCCTTTTCCCCTGATGGCGTCCTGGGAGTAGTAGACCCCCCCCCCCCCGCATACTGCTTTTTACACACAGGATTCCCGGGAGTTGGGTTTTCGCCTGCGTGTTTTTCGAAATGCTGCTCTCGCTGAGGCGCCGGCCTCATTTCTGCTCCCGAATCGTTCCGAATCGTGCTCCCGCTGCAACGTGGGCCTCATTCTCGGATCGGTGTTTTGCCTCCGTCGTTCAGGATGGCGTTCTCGCCCCAGCGCGGGCCTCTTTCTCGCGCGCCCATCCGCCCGCCACCACCGCGCCGCACCACGCCCCGCCCCGCCGCACGCACACGCACCGCCACTTCCACCCACCAACGCACGCACGCACGCGCGCGCACCACCACCGCGCACCGCTACCACCACCGCACTACCCCACCCACCACCACCACGCTACACCGCGTCACACCACATCACACGCGCGCACACACAGACACACACGCACGCACGCACACACAGACACATACACACGCACACACACAGACACACACACACACACCACCACCGCCACCACCACCACCGCCATCACGCACGTACGCACCTGGCCCACCACCAAACCACCAAGACGCCACACCACGTCACACCACAGCACACGCGCACACTATTGGCGTGTTGGCATGGCCCACGAGGCCGTCACCTGGCCAGAGGACCTGGGGCCGCGGCCACCCCGGCCGACAATCGACAAGATGAGGGATGTCTTCCGCTCATTCCCCGAGCAGACGGGCTCCTCGTTCGACGCCTTCTGCCCCAGGGACTTCGACGCCATGTCCGACATGGGGGTTGAGGCCCTGGTTGACCTCCTCATGCGCATCGAGGGCGAGTGCCAATGGCCGTCGTTCATAACCAAACTCGTGTTCATCCCGAAGCGCGAGGGCGGCGTTCGCCCCATCGCGCTCCTGGCGGCTGTGGTGCGCGTCCACGGGCGGCTCCGCCGCCACGTGGCCGCCGAGTGGGAAGATTGCCACTCGCGCAGCTACTGGTGGGCCGCCAGCGGCAAGAGCTGCGACCGCGCCGTCTGGCAGCAGCAGGCGTGGTCCGAGTGGGTCCGGGCCCAGCAGAAGCTCCATCCTGACCAAGACTGGAGCTCGGCCACGGTCCTCCTGGACCTTTGGAAGGCTTTCGAACAGTGCCAGCACCACCATCTGGTGCGGGCCGCCATCGCCTACGGATTCCCCCTCTGGCTCCTGAAGCTCCAACTGCATCTTTACCGCCTGCCCAGGTCCCTCGTGCTAGAAGGGGCCGCCTCGGACCTGGTCGAGGCCGAGCAGACGGTGCTGGCGGGCGACGCCTTCGCCACCACCTTCCTGAAGGTCCTCCTGATAGGCCCCATGGACGCCATCGCCACCGCGGTGGCCACCGTCATGCCCTCCGTCGTCGTCGACGACGTGGTGATGCAGCGGGTTGGCGGAGCGTCGCGCGTGGTGGCCGACCTCGCCAGATGCGTGAAGCTCCTGGTCAAAGCCCTGCGCAGGGTCGACATCTTCGTGGCGGCCAAGAAATCCATGGCGGTCGCCACCACGCCGGCTGTCAGGAACGCCCTGGAGCGGAACCTCTCCAGCGTGTGCGGGGTCAGGGGCAAGGGCACCGTGCGCAACCTCGGCATCGACCACTCTGAGGGCAAGCGGGCCGTCCAGGTGGTTAGGAACGACAGGCTGGCGGCCTCCCGCCGCAGGCTAGGCCGGGTGCGCATGCTGCTCGGCAAAAGCACCCGGAGGCGCGCGGCGGCACGCGTCGCCAAGATGGGCTTGGAGGCCAGCTACACCTACGGCGCCAACGTCACGGGCTTCAACGAGGCACAGCTCGACCAGGCTCGGGCGATCGCCTTCAGGTCCGTGGAGATCCGGCCAGCGGGCAAGTCCCGCACGGCCGCTTTGATGGCCACAGGGCAGTGCTATGACCCCATATTCAAGACGACCATCGCGCCGCTCCACACGTTGGCGAGGGCTGTCTGGGAGCAGTGGCTGCCCAGGCATGTGCTGGAGTTGGCCTTCTCCATTGCGGCCGACTCAGTTTCCACGTGGGCGCAGGTGACGGGGCCTTTGGGCGCTGCGTACATGACGCTGAACGTGGGATGGTCGGCCTCCACGCTGACCGATTGGATGCAGCACGACGGCGCCGCCTACGACATCGACGCTTTCTCCCCTTGGTACCTGAAGCGCGCCCTGGAGCGCAGCTGCGAGGCCTGGCAAGTGTCGCAGATCTCCAAGCACTTCCCTTGGGTCTCGGGCTCCATCTTTGGAGGCCAGGTGCGCAGGTGGATCAACTCTGGTAAGGGCTCTTCGGACAAAGCGAGATGGTGGCCCGCGCTATCCTGGCAGCAACGGGGCTACATCCGCTCGGTCTTCGTCAACGGCCAGTGGACCAATGCCCGCAAGTACCACAACGTGCCCTCTTACGCTGATTCGCCCTTCTGCTCGGCGTGCCCGTCAGAGGAGGGATCCCTGTGGCATCGCCACACGGGTTGTGCCGGTCAGTGGGGCGGCCTGGAGCTGCCAGCGGCGATGCGCTTGCTCAAAAGGCACAGCAACAATGAGGTGATCCAGGCGCTCGTCGAAAGGCTCACCTTCAGCGTCCCCAGCACCAGCTGGCGCCCCCCTGCAGGGGGCCTGTTCGACCACGTTGTCTGGTGCTACGGTACCTCGGGCGACCCGTTCTACAGCGGCGACCTCTTCGTGGACGGCACCTGCTTCGAGGCCTCGGGCAACGGCGGCACCGTCTCGGGGTGCGCGGTCATCAGGCTCCCCGAGAGCCGTGGCGGTGCTGACCCAGGGCCGCGTTCGACGATCAAGGCCATTGGATCCCCTCTGATCGGGAGTTGGCAGTCCATCGACGGTGCGGAGCTCTTCGCCATCGCGCTCGCTCTGAGGCACACTATCCCGCCTCTGGCCATATACAGCGA